CAGTTAATCAGATGTTGTGATCTGCTGAAGTTTTGTGTTGTTGATCAGGAAAAAGTTAATCACAGATGAAGCCATTTGGCAGTTTTTCGGGATCTTAAAAAACTTAACCTGTACTTTGCTTGCAATTTGCATTAATCTTCACCATTCGTGACCATGGTATTCTTTCATTGTCTATTCTGCAATTAAGTAGTGTATGTTCGTCAGAGCTTATTTCTCTCTTTTCTCTTCACTTTTATGACGGAACGAACGACTTGGCTTTCCGCGCATTAGTTCTCATAAACAAAGCTTTATCCGCCTGTTAAAATTCAACAGTTTGAGGTGGAAGACGGTGCGAATAAAAACTAGTTAATTTTTTTTGGCAATTTTCGCTTGACTAGACATGAAAACACTTCACAAGAAGTTCACAATTATCATGGTCCAGTGTTTCAGTGTAGCTTGTCATATTTTAGTGTACACAGAAGTTTTAAGTTCCTAAAAAAATTGTTATTGTTACTCGACGGCTAAGTAAAACACAGGCTTTGATTTTGGAGTTCAGTCAAATTAGTGAAGTACAGAAATTCCAAATATTAGTTGTCCCCTGGAGATGAAAGATATAATTAGTGCTCTTAGCAGAAGGACTTTGAAGGACCTGCGCTATAACTGACAATAGACGGTACTCAGCGATTTTCTAAGTTCTGCTAGACTCAGTCGATTCATTTCTTAATTTCCCCGCTGCAATGAAGCCGTCAAATGTGTTTGAGTGATATTATTGATTATTCTGACTATAAAAAAAATACTTATAAATTTAAACGCACCAGAGGTCCCATTTATTTCAATCTCATGAACTCAGCGAGGCTTAAAGTTTTGCTACTTGCTTGTTTGCTCGGCGTGATTCCGTCCAAAATTGATTGCTTCCCTTGTGTGAGTTCAGTTCGTTATCACCATTACTCAAATAAATAATTTTGTTATGAACCTCTAAAATTAGAAGTGTTTGGCAACTATTAAAATTTGGAATGTTCTCTCTAAGTGTTTGGGAATTGTTTAGGCCTGTTAGATTATCTTGAAATCCTTGTGCGAGTCTTTTGAGCCTTGGTTTGTTATGTGCTGCAAGACCACACATTTATTTTTACCTTGAGTGACGAGTCCTTGACCGTTATAAAAGGGCTCAATTTTCGTGCGATAATCGTCACTGCTAATCGTGTTTGGGTTTGTCCTTGCTTAGAGTCCTCGACGGGAAATTTTGTTCAGGTTTTAGTTCTTGAAAATTGTTTGTTTTTCAAGTACTTTGCCGTTTATTTCGAATATGTCGTGGAATTTTTTGCGTTGGCGTTCTGAAAATTTGTTTACGCTGCCAAAGTCGGTCGTCCCGAAAGTCTAAACATGCCTATCGATGGGATATTTAAAAGCGTGTAGTTAGGGCTGAAAGAGAGAGACTGGGACTCAGAGACTGAATGAAAAGTCTAATCAGCCCCCTGGTGCCTCCGTTTGCGCGAGCGACATCAGTTACCTAACACCAACAGTCCAACAATTTCAAATAACTTCATTTAAACAGATGAAAACCGATCAGCTGGGCTGAATGTTATTCTCAAAGCAAATGAAAACAAGTTAAAGTGATATGAGCCATATGGTCTCATGAACTTCGCATGACCAGATTAAAACTCCTGAGGCATTAAATGCTAAAACAATATTTATCTTAAACCATGTAAACGAGAAGGTAGATCCTACCGAGTACAACTGCTTGGCCGTGGAAGATCTGGGTAGGAGACTAGTTCATTCTATACAGGTATAAACCCGTTTTAGAGCCAATTCGGCCTGGACACGAGAATAAGTTTTTAACCAGTCTTCAATCAGTATGATTTTCAAGGAAACCACGTGACCATATGACAGTACCGTATTTTCTCGATTAAACGCCGACCTCGAAAAAACGACGAGTCCAAACTGCTAATTTCTAAAGAAACGCTGGGGGCGTTAAATCGAGAAAGTACGGTATTTGTCAGGAGCCCATTAATAATGGGCTCCAAATGACGTTGCAATTTAGGCAATCGCAATTGCACTGATGCATGAATCAAAAAGACAATTGTCGGCTGATCTAAAACTTGCCACGTATTAAACGCCCTTTATTGTAAGGTTTACCCTTTAAACTCATTTATCTAACTGATTTAAATCTTGCCACGTATTTAACGCCCTCTGTTGTAAGGGTCACCCTTCCAGGTCATTTTTCAAACGGATCTAAAACTTGCCTTGTATTTGACGCCCTTTTATTGTAAGGTTCACCCTTCCGAGTCATTTGTCAAACGGCGTTTGATTCTTTTAGAATCGTCATTTACTTTGATTCTGACCTTTGGTAAGTACTTTTCAGGATTATTTTTAACCCACGGTAGGACTTTATTCTTTTATTGACTAAAGCCTGAGAACATAATATTTAGGTGGTATATGTCCTGATATGCTGGCACTGTGCTGTGTTAGAAGGAATTACGATATAAGTGGGCAAAAAGAACCGTCTTTACTTCACTACTCTACCTTCAGCTATGTGTGGGATACCAACACATAAAGTACACAAATGAGCGTAGTTGAAACTGATCATGGTGTGCTGATTGTGTGCAAAAAGCTCGCAATCAGTGAACCGTGTAGTTATAGTGGCAATAGAGAGAAATGAATACACCTATGGACATTTTTTTTAAAATTTCTAAGCAATTAGCCTGCTAAGCACAATTTACTATTAAGACCTATCGGATAAACTTGAGTGCTATTGGTTTAAAGGAAGATTATTCAATGGTTTTAAATAGAAATTACTTGTGAAGTTTAACAAAGCTGATCTAAACGTATTCCTTTCATTCAAACAGTTAGAATGACTTATTCATGGCATTGTCATTCCTTGGCTGAGATAAAAACTACCCTCTAACTTGTTAAAGATACGGTAAACCTTCGCGGGTGTCCTTCGCTAAAAAAATTATTTCTGCGCTATTTGTATCGGTAATCACATGATTTCGAGTGCAATTTGGAGTAAAATACTTGAAACTGATCATGGTGTGCTGATTGTGTGCAAAAAGCTCGCAATCAGTGAACCGTGTAGTTATAGTGGCAATAGAGAGAAATGAATACACCCATGGACATATTTTTTTATTTCAATTTTGGAGTAAAATTTTTATAGACTAACAAAATTGTACGAGCCCGTAGGGCGTGTGCAATTTGTGGTCTTTGAAAAAATTGACAAGCGCTTATTTATTCCAAATTGCACGAGAAAAATCACGTGATGACGTGTTAATAATATACATGTAAAAATACGAGATGGCTTATCATAATTAAGCAAAGCGCGCGCATCAAGTGAAAAATTATTTATTCAAATCGTGCGTTCGGTCAAAACAACCGTGTACGATCGAAATGATAATATGCAATGATATCTTCACATCTTTAAGCCGCAAAAAAATCGAAGTCCGGCTTAACAGTTCAAGGAATTGTTCACTCTGTGTCCAAATCACTTTCGATGAAATGGAATCGTCGTTTCCGAGGTTTAACCATGTTTGTTTTTAATTTCGGTGTTGAATCGCTCGAGCAAAGTGTTAAGCTGGGTCGATTTCCTTGGCAATTCCCTTCTGTAAACACCACTTTTTCCAAACCGACAACCAAAAAGCAGTGCGTTTTACATTGTTTTCGTTGTCTGAGCTGTTTTTCAGCCACGGTGGCGAAAGAAAAGCTACCTAAAACGCCGGCCATTGTTTCGCTCGCAAATTTTCAAATTTTGTTGTGACATCCAAATCTCGCATTTGATTGGCTGTCTGTGAGTTTCTCTGATTATTGACCAGTCAAAATGTCTGATTTTTTACTTTCTTTGCACTGAATTAACCCTCTTCTGCACAGAGTTTACTCTCTTCTGAACTGAATCACCTGAAAACTGCATTTATCTTAACCAATCAGAACTGAGTAATTTTTTCGTGTATATTTTTGAAAGCGTAACCACCATCAACTATACATCAGTGGGAAGGATTTTAAATGCATTATGTACTGACTGATTTTAGCGGGACAAAATCGCAAATTTGATTGGAAAGAAAAATATATGTTATTTGCCGGCTAAGGGTCGGTCCGTATGGTGAAAAACTGTGACTCAGGTCTTGGCATTTCAAGACTGAGGTCACAGTTTTTCACCATACGGACCGACCCTTAGCCGGTAAATAACATATTTATTTTTTAAACTCGACGAAATTCTTTCCGAAAGAACCCGAATTTAATTGCAGTCGGTTTTAGGCAGCTTGTCGACCAACTTAATGACACTATTGCTTATACAAATTCATTCTAAAACCAACATTTTTCTGTCAACCAAAGTGATTTGAGAGAGAGGAAAGAGAGGATTCTTAAGTTATCTATCGGCTTGAGGTAGTGACCGACGTGTTTGCTCGAAAATACTACCCAGCCGGAAAAACGAGACATACTTATGAAAAATGGTAACGAAAGTAGGGATGTACTCGGCGACTCACTAAAGCGTTACCGTGGCCCGTGGGCAGAAATAGGAAAATACTGACCGGGTAAAGAACCAATCAGATTGCGGGATTCGTTACCGTACCCTCTAAAAAAAAAATAAAAGTAGAAACGTGTTATTTTTAATCTTTTCATTAAAGCGCTTTATAGATATAATAAACCCCTAAGGGTTCTGTATACCTTTTCAAAATAGATTTTTATAAAAGAATTTGTTACAACTTTAAAATGACTTACTCTCAAGAAGCTTCCTCTTTGCGCAAGTTGGTTTGAGGCGGAAAACGTCAGTTGTTCCCAGCACGAGATCAAATCTCTTCATTTTACGTAAATTCAAAGCTAAGAGCAGAAGATTGACTGAGATTAAAATTAAAATTTCCCATAAAACATGTGATAACAAGAGATTTTGTAAAAAAAAAACTTAGGATAAAGAGCAATCCCATCGGAACATGACGCATAGGTGGCGCCAGGTCATTTTATTAAATGCAAATGAGAAAAAGATCACCGATGATATATATAGAGAACAAAGGTGTGAAACAACTTTAGTATGTGCAGAATAAAAGAAAGGAGTGACTAAGCCAAAATTTTTGCGGGAACGGAGTCTGTTTAAGAGTTCAGGTTGGTTCTTTTCCATAATACATCTCATAAACAGTGTACACAAACTTTTCATTGCACTTCTTTAAGATCTTTTAAAAATTTTCTGTGAGAATTACTTGGCCCTTGTCGGTCATGGTTCAGTTCAGGTGTTTGCCAATCACGAATAAATTCGAAAATGAGAGGAAATATCAGGAGAAAAACATCACGAGTGTCTTAAACATCACGAGAGTCAATACTTATGAAGGTTTACCTTGGAAACACCACCACGAGAACTAAAGGAACTTCTAAAAAACAAAACTGTTAGGGATTAAGGTCAAAACCAACCATATGTTTTATGATATTCTTGTCACCCATAATAATAATAATAATAATAATAATAATACTTTATTCAAATACATATATACTCATAAACATGTTACACGATGCATATTCACATTTACAGGAAACTAGGCCTATTTTCCTTTTATCGAGAACCAAATGAACAACATATTTTTAGTTTTCAAACTGAGAACTGAATAATATCATACTGAAGAAACTGACTGTCTAACTTTAATGAGGCTACGCCCTTGTTCGCATCTGATAAAGAAACAAAAACGAAACAGGAGAACGTAACTGCTCAGTTGTTTTACCATAGGTTTGTTTGAAACATCGGATATAGTCGAGGAGCTACGTCTCGTCACTTAAGAGAGTTAATATACATCGAGTTGTCTTTTAAATCGGGAAAAAAATTATGGCTCTAGATTTGGTTGTTTTTTCGTGCGGCTTCACGATATGTTACATCCATTTTTAAGGTACTAGTGATCGTTGCGATATAATTGGCTTTCAGCAGTGCGATTTATCCATTAATCGAGCTGATTTTTGCCCCTGATCGCTTCTTTTGATTTGAAGTCGATCTCGAGGTGCGCACTCGTTCGATTTTGAACTTCATACAATTGCAAAATTGCCCTCAAGCCGTTTTAAATTTCCTATAGGAGATGATATGTTATGTTCATAGGTAACTTCCTTCTTACACAGTTGCTAGTAAAGGATGCATTCTAAAAGATTGGCAGTCGTTGAGGTCGCAAATAATTTCCTATCCTGCCGGGCAAAAGAAGACATCAAAGAAGGTTCCTTCCTGACTGATCTCTGGGGTAGAGTCAGCGAGAAGGCTACCAGATACACCGTACAAGTTGGAAAAAACAAGCATGTGGACCCTGAAGGGATGATCAGGTACATGAATCATTCCTGTGACAGCAAAACAAAATTCATCTACAAAAAACGCAAAGATGTCCATCCAATCTTGGCTGACGACCAGGATGTCTTTTGGTACATGGTGGCTGCTCGTGATATCAAGAGAGGCGAGGACATCACGTTTGACTACAATGTGACAGAATATGAAGTTGCAGAGCGATTTCGTTGCAACTGTGGGGCTGTAAAATGTCTCGGTGAGATAAAAGGCTTTAAGTTTTTGACGCCAGAGCAACAGAAGTTGAGGGAAAAGGAATTATCTCCTATTTTAAGTGAGCTTTGGCGTTAACTTTAAACTTAAAATTATTGATATCGTGAAGGAATCGCAAGTGACTATATTTCCTCTGTCTTCTTTATTGCTTGTTTTTTGTAACCATCGCGCAGAATGCCTATTGATCTCGAGACATTCATTTCCACACTGTCTATCTGAAATGTTTTTTAGACGTTTCGTAATCTGTAGAACTCTGATTAGTCAAAGAATACGCCCCTTTTTTTTTTTTTCCTCAGGGTACATTGCTTCTGTCATTAGCATGACAAGGTCATTTTCAAGGTTAAGAGATATTCCTTATCAAACTTCTTCTTCTTGATTTATTTGATTTCTGTCTTCATCCTCTGCTTCGAGGCATGGATATATATCAATCGTTCTTAAGGGAATTCGTAGGACTCGTTTCTTACATGCTAATTAGACGCATAATATTCTCGTGACCTGTTTAGTCTTGTGGTTCGCAAAAAATACAACGCAACTAGCAAAATATGGGCGTAATATATGTTAAACCATCGAATAGGGTGTAGTTATTGTACTATTATTAAACAATATGATATTGGGGGACAATGTGCCTCTTTCAGAATAAAGTAATAAATCATCTCAAACATGTCTGACTCTTATCTCAGGTCAAGTTTTCATAGATCTGGTGAGTCACCTCAGTGACGAAAAAACGAAAGATGTGCTATCATGCATATCTACAACAGACGGCGGTTGTGTAAGAACGGTGTTCCTTATTTTTTTTTTTAAACTTGTCAATAATCGACTCTTCTTTTCCCACCCGTTTTCTACTAATCTTTCGTCAAAAACTGCAGGTCTCTCAAATTGAGTATACCCGTTTTCACAGAACAACGATTGACGTCGGAAATTCACATTTCTTTTGGGGTTCCAAATAGCGAAAAAGGTGTCTCACATGACAATTACAAACTTTTTTTTTGAATGGGGATTGTTTAAAAATTTTCGGCCGAATAACGATGGCTCAGATTGAGTCAGTTTCCTGTACTCGATGGTTTTATTAAAACAATTATCGTAACACAAAACTAGTTCCGCGGGAAAAAAATGCCATTTTTAGATGACTCATTGAAATTCAAACAATGATTACCTCTAGTTCAGGGAAGTCGTTCCGGATCAATCATAAGTTAGTGCTTGAAGGGTAGTCGATGAAGATTTTGGAGGGAGCACATGGTTTTCAAGAAAAAGAAAGCAAAGTTTTGGTCGGGTATCGGTTCTTTCTATAAACGGAGATATTTCTGTTTTTAAGAAAATACCCATTTTGAGGGAAGAGAGGCTGAAAAGGATGAAAGGGTGTTTAGAGTCGACCAGTCGATGAGGAAACATCGTATCTTGCATCAGTCTGGTTCTTTTTTTTCTTTCGTTTCGTGAGTCGTTTCTCCCTTTGAGAGTAAAAGGCTGAAGAGCAATGGTAATAGAGAAAAATTTCTGGAAGTGTAAACAAACAATAAGAACATACAAAAAAAGAAGAAATAATTAGAAGCTAATAAAAAAAAAATGAAAATGAAAAACCTTTTTAAAAAGCCTAATTAAAAACCTTTGCACGAATCGAGTCCGACTGCACATTGAGAGATGTGCAGAAAACATACTTTATCCAAATCTTTAAGTTGGACACGTACAATATCAGCTGAGGCCTGATTTTTAAACGGTTGGACAGCACGGATGGGATCTGTTCGATCGCTGACAGTCGGTGACGAAACAGGTTGATCCGATGCTCTGGCGGCAATAAAACGTGGAAAAAGTAGAGTTGACAAGTTTGTCAGGATATTTCAGTCGAAAAAACAATAATTTCAGTCGATCACATTCTTCAGAGAAGTAACACCGATTAAATGAAAGCCGAAATGCTCGATCAAGCATAGTTTTGAGTAACCCGAGTTTGTATCGGTCGTCTACATGGCTCTTGCAATTCGGCAGGAGGCCAGTATTTGTGGGTTTAACGTACACTTTAGTCTCAACATGTGTGCGTTTGTTGAGCAGCTGAGTGCGCAAAAATGGAAGCTTGCTATTACTCTCCGTTTCCATGGTGAACTTAAGAGAGGAATGGCACGGGTTTACTTCTCGAGGAAATTGACAGCTGATGTTATGTCTAGCACGATAGTCAGTGTGTCATCCACATATCTCTTGTAGTACGCGGGCATCTTGCCTTCTCGCTTTAAAGTATCCTCAATGCTGCAGTATCCTCAACATAAAGAAGTTGGCTAAAAACTCAGGAAATTACTGCCACCCCAACATGAGAGCAAGTTTAATCTTAGGCACGCGCGATCCTTCAGCATACCGCACTGTGAAACAAACAGATTTAAGAATAGTTTTATTAAGGCTTCATGCGCCCTAGTGACTACTGTTTAAATTATTAGACTTTTAACAATATGATTTCAAAAGATGTTCATAGTTTTTAAATGTTTTAGACATTACTATATATCATCAGCTCTTAGGTATTATTCAATTGTAAGTTTGCACATTCAATTAGAATTTTAAGGAAAATACGTAATTCAGCTCTACGAGCTGCGATGTATTTCAATAAAGAATCTATCTATTTATCTATGGCTAATAGAGCGCCAAGGGGGAGCCCATAGCAACTCCGTCTGTTTGTTCATATAAATGGCCGTTAAACAAGAAAAGGAAGGCACTGGTTCAAACCCAGTCGAAGTTACAGATCGTGTACCCAGGAAACAACTTTCTGTGTACTTGCCTTAATTTTATGAAATTTGTTCTTTGAGCACATACTGCAGTCGCGGAGAACACTTAAGAGAAAATGCAAAATGTTGTTATGGTGTTAATGGTTGCCCATTAAGAAGATAAAACGCTCGTTTCCAATTGATTTCTCCCTCTGGGCTGTTGTTCACATCTTCAAAGAGATAATGTTATACTGAGCTATGCAAGGTCACTTTGCATGGGAACCGTTCAGTATCAGTAGCTAAATTCATTTCTTTTTCTGAGAAAATAAACTACCTAATTTCCACAATTACTGCAGGACGAGCTCCGTCAGCAACATAATTGCAAATGAGATATTAAGGGTATTCATATTTTTTTTTAAAAGGAGAACTAAGCGTACTCTAACATTAACCTTGTTTTTAAGATGTAGCTTGGTTATACATTAGTTAGGAACGTTCTAACGATATCCAGGAGGCCAAAGGAAAAGTCTCGTGGAAGATAAAATTTTATTTCAGTATTTTGCCTCTGAACCATGGCTCATTAATATTTTGGGATTATGGTGCCGAGAGAGGCCAACAATAGACATTTACATAACAGACATCATAGAGTTGAAGGTATTAATACTGTTATAAATATAATAGAGATATTTGGTCAAGATCCAAACAAATCTGTTCAAATCACTGAAACGGTGCTTTCTTAAATTGTTCCTCAAACCAGAAAAAAATATGAAAACGTCGACAATGCGTTGAAGTGTGGACGGAACCCTGTTTCACACATGAATTTTAGAGAAATTCACGCGTCACGTATAAAAAGGGAAAACTTTAAATCAGTCTCAGGGAAATATTGAGGCTTTTACGGGTCGAAAATCTTTAAGGAGGCACATCACACCCACGCTGTTTCAGAACTTTACGTTCGCCATTCTGTAAAATCATACGTCGCATGTTAAGTTGGCCCTAATCTTGCGTCCCTTAGAGACCCTTTGTTACCCTCGATCATGGGGCTTTGTAATTCATTTAGCTGCAATCGCAAATCGTAATCTTGGAGAAACTAATTAAAACCAGCCTCTACTTTAAGATGTTGCTTTAATGAACACTTGTAGATCAATGGAGCACGGAATAATTCGGCACGAGGTTTGCTTTAAAACTGGAGATTCTACATCGAAGGCGTCAGCTCACTGAAAATGTTTGGCGCCTTTATTCGGACCGAAAACCCTTATTTTATTGTTTCTTTTGTCAATACTCGACATCTAAATCCTCAAAGTATTTTAAAATACCAGAAAGGTTTGAGATGGAGGGTGTCATTGTCTTGCGGTGTTATCTGTGTATTAAAAAGGTGAATGTGTCGAGGCACTCCCACATGTAAGTCTGCTTGACTCACTGGCAAGTTTAAAATTGAAGTGGAGAGAGGGTACGTCATTCTCGCTTAAAGGTCAGTTTGGAAACTTTCGATATCATCTGCTTTACGTGAATCAATTTAGTTTGTCTTGATCGAGTTAAAGAATATCATTTCCAGCCCAAAGTGGGCTAGTGCTTGGCTGGAAGCTCAATAGGATGGAATCGATTGGTTCGTATCATTAAGAATTTTTGGAAAAGAAATTGACTACAATTGATGATGAATTAGCATGCTATTGTTAATGTTATTGTTCGTGTTAAGGTCTTTAGTGGTAATGCCCCATTTTAGAGAAGTTTGAATGATTTCGCTGTGTCACATGTTATTCCAAAATAAAATTATTATTATCAGTGGTGTTACTGAGTCAATTGATTTTAATGAAGCATTTGAGTTTATTTTTAAGAATGACTATCCTGATTTATTCAATTTTAAACCTGGGATATTGCATTTCTAATCCTCTATGGCTTTACTTCACCTCAGTAATCAGTTCATGTACCATATGACTATAAGTGGAATCTGTTGAGCTTTCTTTTTTTCATTCATTTATTTATCTATTCATTTTCTCCCCTCACGGTGGGGAGAAGAGATGAAGACAAAAAATTAAATATAAACTTGAGATCAGCTGTAAAATATATGTTTTCCCAATATTTCGGTTCGGGAACTGATGAACCTGTCATAAGGAGCTTAAGGAAAAAAATGAATGGTTCATTAGACCATCAACTGACCATCATGTGTTGAATGTTGTAGCTCAATGGTTCAATTTGACTCTTGCGTGGAAAAAAGGCAATATGTCGAGACCTGTAATCGTGATATGGGATAACATGATTGGTCAGTAGATATCTTGCTCTGTGAGTCACTTTATCATATGGCTAGCAGCGCACGCGGGCAAGATGAAGTGACTCACACGCAAGAGTCAAATTGAACCATTGAGCTACAACATTCAACACATGATGGTCAGTTGATGGCCTAATGAACCATTCATTTTTTTCTTGATGCTTGATGGGCCCACCTTCGCCCGCTTGGAATTCCCCGTATTGATCCCACGCAAGAAAACCTACAAAGTTCGTAACTTTTGGACAATGTTGGCATATACATAGAAAAAAATTAACGACCCTCTTGGGTTTATTGTGCTGCAAACACAGTTGGCTTTCACTATCGGCTCTCGAAATAAACAGGCCATTCTTGATTCTTATCAAAGCGAAATCTTTTGCTATGCAATGAATCCTTTAATAGTTAAGCCAAGAGAATATAAACTCTCTTGACCAAGCTTGTATGGTCAAGATTACTGGATATTAGCCTCGTTCTTTTTCTACTTTTTTATGGACCGAGACTTCATCTCAGTGCATAAAAAAAGCGAAAAAAAAAAAAAAAAGAACTCGGCCAATATCCAGCCATTTTGATCTCACGCTTGGTCAATAACGCATATGAATATATGTAAGAAACATTGAGAGAACGATTAACGTAACGAGATATATTGTTTTGTTTGTACAGTGCAGAAGTGATTTTGTTGATTGACGGACACGTGAGCCTTGTAAGTTTACAACAATATATCCTATGCAGACCCGTACAAATCTGGCAAGGGAAGACAGTACAAAAAATGCACTTTCGAGCCCGGAATTTGTCTAACGTATAAGTCGGAGGACTTCCATTTCCTTGTAATTCGGTTCATGAAGTGTTAACTTCAGCACTGATGACAGAAGTATATCTCCAAAATCTGTTACACTTTAGAGTCTGAGCCAATGATATAAAGAGAGCTATTGGTCAGCGTTCTCATTGCTTTTGCGTCCGTCAATTTGATGCCAAAAGCACATCAGCATCAGTATAAGGTTTTGTAGCCAATGCTTCTCAACCTACGTCTTTAGCACATAAAAAGACGCTGATTAATATCAGTGAGCCCGCAATATGCCATAAATATTGGTCAGAGGATTCTTTGGTGCAACAGCTGTCACTTTCACATCTCAATGTCAGCGCAGTTTAACGATTGCATAGGAGCCTTATTACATTTAGGACCGAACGTTATTACATTTAGGGCTTTATTACATTTATGACCAAATGTTATTACATTTAGGACTTCATTACATTTAGGACTTCATTACATTTAGGACTTCATTACATTTAGGACAGTTATTACATTTAGGACTTCAACAATGGCATGCAATTTCGCATAAAAATAATATTTAATACGTTTTGATGTTTTGGTTCAACATCAAAAGCATGCTTTTTAAATTAGATCGGTTCAAATATTTTTGCTTTTCTACCATATTAAAAAGTTGTCAACGAGGTCAGTTAACAATGGATGAAAATATTTTAGGATGGAAATGAAATTGGAAACCACCAAATCAGCAAATAAGTTAACTTTTTACCCCGAGTCCTGCACGCTTCGTATATTTGTCATAAGCACACAACTTGTTTTTGCAACAAAAAGGCGGAAAGAGCGGAAAAGTTGTCGACAAGGTCATTTAATAATGGATGAGAATCCCTCCTAGCAAAACATTCGATAAAAATAAATGTCAGTATCATTTAAGAACGAAGTGAAAGTGGAAACCAAGAAGTTTCATCGTTCAGTACGTACGTGTTCCACAGTTCTTGTTGGCCAAACAACCAGGGTGATTATAAACAAAACTCGAAATAGTCATCAAAGTCTAGGCCATTTAGACCAAACACTGTCATGTAGTATTCCACTACAGATAGGTATGCTCTTCGATGTTGAAGTGTGTTCCAGTTTAGCAATATATATCGTTCTTCATATGATATCTCGCGTAGTTTTTGACCGAAAGCGATTCTCGATGCTCTTCGTTGTACTTTTTCGATTGCCAACTTATCTTCAACTAAATAGGGCGACCATACCAGGTATGCGTATTCTAGGATTGGTCTAACCAAGGACTTATAGAGCATAGAGAAAATTTCTCTGTTGTTGCTACCAACTGTACATTTCAGTAGGCCCACCACCTTGATGCTTTAGTTACAATTGCGTCCACGTGGTTCGACCAGGATAAGTCTCTTGACACATGAGCACCCAGGTCCTTGCACGAGTTAACTGACTCTAATTCTGTATTTGACAGATGATGAGGATGTTTACTTCCCACTTCGCTGCTAGTGCAAAGAATGCTGCTCAATCTATCGTTTTATTATGTTGCCAAGTTCGGCTAGATTGCTTTGTTGTTGTGTGAATACAGATGAAAAATATGAGTTCACCTTCTTAAGGGGAAAGTGTGTAACATCTTCTGGTGGAAAAAATGTCAAGTTAATTTTTGGGGTTTTCGAACATTTACAGGAAACTGGGCCTATTTGCCTTTTATCGAGAACCAAATGAACAACATAAAAATAACAATTCGCGCTTTCCATTAGTTAGCTGGCGTACATTCGTCACCGGGGATTGTTTAAAAAATCCAGGGAAGCTTTCAAATCGTAACGCACAAAACGTGCATATATTTTTAGTATGTTTAGCATTTTTAGTTTTCAAAGAACTGAATAATACCATACTGAAGAAACTGACTGTCTAACTTTAATGAGGCTACGCCCTTGTTCGCATCTGATAAAGAAACAAAACCGAAACAGGAGAACGTAACTGCTCAGTTGTTTTACTATAAGTTTGTTTGAAACATCGAATATAGTCGAGGAGCTACGGCTCTTCACTTAGGAGAGTTAATATACATCGGGTTGTCTTTTAAATCGGGGAAAAATTATAGCTCTAGATTTGGTTGTTTTTCGTGCGGCTTCGCGATATGTTACATCCATTTTGAGGTACTAGTGATCGTTGCGATATAATTAGCTTTCAGAAGTGCGATTTATCCATTAATCGAGCTGATTTTTGCCCCTGATCGCTTCTTTTGATTTGAAGTCGATCTCGAGGTGCGCACTCGTTCGATTTTGAACTTCATACAATTGCAAAATTGCCCTCAAGCCGTTGTAAATTTCCTATAAGAGATGATATGTTATGTTCATAGGTAACTTTTTTCTTACTCAGTTGCTAGTAAAGGATGCATTCTAAAAGATTGGCAGTCGTTGAGGTCGCAAATAACTTCCTATCCTGCCGGGCAAAAGAAGACATCAAAGAAGGTTCCTTCCTGACTGATCTCTGGGGTAGAGTCAGCGAGAAGGCTACCAGATACACCGTGGGGCTGTGCAACTGTGGGGCTGTAAAATGTCTCGGTGAGATAAAAGGCTTCAAGTTTTTGACGCCAGAGCAACAGAAGTCGAGGGAAAAGGAATTATCTCCTATTTTAAGTGAGCTTTGGCGTTAACTTTAAACTTAAAATTATTGATATCGTGAAGGAATCGCAAGTGACTATATTTCCTCTGTCTTCATTATTGCTTGTTTTTTGTGACCATCGCGCAGAATGCCTATTGATCTCGAGACATTCATTTCCACACTGCCTATCTGAAATGTTTTTTAGACGTTTCGTAATCTGTAGAACACTGATTGGTCAAAGAATACGCCCCTTTTTTTTTCCTCAGGGTACATTGCTTCTGTCATTAGCATGACAAGGTGGGACTAACTAACAAAAAGGGCTTAGAAAGTCGTTGTTTATGATATTGTTATAAAAAATGACACATACGTCATTTTCAAGGTTAAGAGATATTCCTTATCAAACTTCTTTTTGATTTATTTGATCTGTCTTCATCCTCTGCTTCGAGGCATGGATATATATCAATCGTTCTTAAGGGAATACGCAGGACTTGTTTCTTTCATGCTAATGAGACGCATAATATTCTCGTGACCTGTTTAGTCTCGTGCTTCGGAAAAATACAACGCAACTAGCAAAATATGGGCCTAGCATATGGTAAGCCATCGAATAAGGTGTAGGTATTGTACTATTATTAAACAATGTGATATTGGGGGACAATATACCTCTTTCAGAATAAAGTAATAAATGTCTTACATGCCTGACTTTTATCTCAGGTAGAGTTTTCATAGATCTGGTGAGTCACCTCAATGACGAAAAAAAAGAAAGATCTATCACGTATATTTACAACAGATGGCGGTTGTGTAAAAACGGTGTTCCTTATTTTTTTTTTAAACGTTTCAATAATCGACTCTTCTTTTCCCACCCGTTTTCTACTAATCTTTCGTCAAAAACTGCTGGTCTTTCAAATTGAGTATACCCGTTTTCACAGAACAACGATTGACGTCGGAAATTCACATTTCTTTTGGGGTCCTAAATAGCGAAAAACGTGTCTCAGATGACAATTACAAACTTTTGTTTTGAAAGGGAATTGTTCAAAATCTTTCGGCCGAATAACGATAGCTCAGATTGGGTCAGTTTCCTGTAATCCTGTTCTAACGATATCCAGGAGGCCAAGGGAAAAGTCTCGTGGAAGATAAAATTGTATTTCAGTATTTTGTCTCCGAACCATGGCTCATTAATGTTTTGCCGGGGATTATGGTGTCGAGAGAGGCCAACAATAGACATTTACATACCAGACATCATAGAGTTGAGGGATTTGAAGTTTTCCCTTTTTATACGTGACGCGTGAATTTCTCTAAAATTCATGTGTGAAACAGGGTTCCGTCCACACTTCAACGCATTGTCGACGTCTCCAAATTTTTTTCTGATTTCACCATTTCAGTGATTTGAACAGATTTGTCTGGATTTTGACCAAATATCTCTATCATAACAGTATTAATACCTTCAACTCTATGATGTCTGGTATGTAAATGTCTATTGTTGGCCTCTCTCGACACCATAATCCCAAAACATTAATGAGCCATGGTTCGGAGACAAAATACTGAAATACAATTTTATCTTCCACGAGACTTTTCCCTTGGCCTCCTGGATATCGTTAGAACAGGATTACAGGAAACTGACCCAATCTGAGCTATCGTTATTCGGCCGAAAGATTTAGAGAAATTCACACGTCACGTATAAAAAGGGAAAACTTCAAATCCTTCAAGTCAAGTTCAGGTAAATATTGTTTCAGAACTTTACGTTCGCCATTCTGTAAAATCATACGTCGCATATTAAGTTGGCCCTAATCTTGCGTCCCTTAGAGACCCTTTGTTACCCTCGATCATCGGACTTTGTAATTCATTTAGCTGCAATCGCAAATCGTAATCTTGGAGAAACTGATTAAAACCAGCCTCTACTTTAAGATGTTGCTTTAATGAACACTTGTAGATCAATGGAGCACGGAATAATTCGGCACAAGGTTTGCTTTAAAACTGGAGATTCTACAACGAAGGCGTCAGCTCGCTGAAAATTGTTTGGCGCCTTTATTCAGACCGAAAAACCATTATTTTATTGTTTCTTTTGTCAATACTCGACATCTAAATCCTCAAAGTATTTTGAAATAATAGAAAGGTTTGAGATGGAGGGTGTCATTGTCTTGCGGTGTTATCTGTGTATTAAAAATGTGAATGTGTCGAGGCACTCCCACACGTAAGTCTGCTTGACTCACTGGCAAGTTTAAAATTGAAGTGGAGAGAGGGTACGTCATTCGCGCTTAAAGGTCAGTTTGGAAACTTTCAATATCATCTGCTTTACGTGAATCAATTTAGTTTGTCACCTACTTGTAATTTCTACACCCAAAGTTTAGTTAACTGTTAAAATAGCTTGAGGATTTTTCCAGAAGCCTGCGTGGTTGCTCTTTGACTTAATTTCAGTGCGGTAAAAGGTGTGTAATTTCGCATGAAAATAAAATTGAATACGTTTTGATCTTTTGGTTTAACATCAAAAGCATGTTTTTTAGGTTGGATCGGTTCAAATTTTTCATGCTTTTCTACCATATTAAAAAGTTGTCGACAAGGTCGGTTAATAATGGATGAGAATTCCTCCTTGCAAAATAAATGTCAGTATCATTTGGGATCGAAATGAGAGTGGAAACCAAGAAATCAGCAAATAAGTTAACTTTTTTACCCAGAGTTCTGCACGTTTCATGTATTTGTCATAGGCGCACAACTTGTTTTGCAACAAAATTGCGGGAAGAGTTGAAAACAGGTGTTCCTCTTGCTTCGAGAGCACGAAAATATACACGCCTGAGGTGTGTGAAATACTTTCGTATGCCACCAGCCAGTATTTCTTTTAAGGCGACGACAAGTACGAACTGGACGAGGAACGGTAATGTTCATTTGAGAAACAAGCAATAATAGAAGGCTAGCCAAATTAAAAACTCGTCTCCTCCTGGCGGCGAGGTTATTTAATGCTAACTGCATTTTGAGTCGCCTTGAGTCTACCCTCCTTCATCACACTTGCGAGACAAATAAGCTCTTCATTTCCACAATTTGTATTTCCCGCGTTTTTTCCGCCATTTTGGTAAGCAATAATCGCTGATCGCAATAGAGTCATGTATATTTTTCCAATTACGTTCGACTTAATTAGGTTCGACGTTTGAATCAACTGCCGACCTTAATTGTTTGGGTCGACCCAAGTTGGTACTGGGTTCGATACATGTAAAGCTCGACTTTTGAACCGGGCCTAAATTAGCTTACCTTTGGAGACAACAAAGTCGACATTGTTTGTTGACAACCTAGCAAATAATCGGGTAAAGAAAAAAACTCGGGAGATCAGTGCCAAGGTAACCATATCTATTGCATTGTAAATTAAAAGATGGTACTGCACTGCTTCGAATTCTTTCTCGAAAAATCTCAGGACCTGAAGAAACAGTGTGATGGAAGTAGGTTTGCATATTGGAATCTTTTAAGCCTTTAATCCCTGAGATCAAATATTTTTTCCTTACAATATCACTCTTGAACCACACATTAAAGTCACTAAAATAAAGAAAATGATCACCAACTTAAGAAGCTCTCGATTGTTAAACAAATTCTCTTTGTCAGCACCTTAGGAAATGTATAGTATGGAGAATATGCATACTGATGCTAAGGCGGAAAGGGTTAATACACCTGCTTACATAAATCACTCAGTAAGGGTGGGTGCACGTTGCTCTTGAGTTATCAGGTAGTACCAGTGCTTCACTTTAAAAAACTTGAAGACCTACAGTGTGAGGGCTGCAAGGCTAAGATTCTAACTCTACAGCACAACTAGCTCCTCTAGAACACAGGCGACTAGGCCTGCCAATCTTATTTGCAAATTATGTCCGACTCGTGTCCGTTGAAAGCATTTCAAATATCGGTTTGGTCGCGAGAACTTCAGCTTTGTTTAAAGGATTAAGAGTTTAATTTTCATTTATTGGTGAACCAATGGACATAGCGCTAATTGTTAATTTAGTGTAGGGAACGAAATTAACGTGGAAAAGCTTTAGATACCAATCGCTGCCTATGCTGGAAAGGCGCGTTGTTCTTTCGGAACACGAGGTAATTGAGAAAGTTTCATTGTTCAGCACGTGTTCCTCAGTTCTTGTTGGCCAAACAACCAGGGTGATTATAAACATCAGCTCTAAGCATTTAAAAGGTTGTCACACAGTTTATATTCAGTCTTACTTTGTTATCTTCATTTTGAAATCACTGGTGGTCCATGCAATCTGATTAGCTCTCATTGGTGCGATTTATTCATGAATCGCACCATTTTATGCGCTCTAAATCACATCACATCCCAGCCAATGAAACAGCTCTGCTAAACACAACCACCAATCACATTTCAAGAGTTGTTTAAAGAAACCAATCAAATTACAGGAAAATGAAAGACAAATTTTGCAACTTTTTAAAAACCAGCTCAAAACTGGTCAATTCTAGATCAATAAATATTTGTACAAACTAAAAAACCTGTATTCTTGCTACTGCATTGTACGATTTCAAAGTAGGTGTCATGACTGGTAATTGAACTTAGTGTCGTGCAAGTTTTGTCTGAAATCATCCTTGTGATTTCAAATCACGCATATGATTTTAGACCGAATTGCACTCCACTCAGTTCAATTACCGTTATATATCTTTAATAATTTTTGAATGTTTTAACTCGCTTTAGCACTTTTGAGCTTTGAAGTATTCGAACCGCACGTGGCTTCTTTACTGACCGTCAAGTGAACATCCACAATCAACCCTGTTCAGTATGAAGGCTTTAAGTAAAACCAATAGCCTTCAAACGTGTACGTCTCAAACTAGAAAAATAAGGTAAAATATGTATTTGTGAAAAATCCTTTAAAGAGTTTAGCTCGATAGTGATACTAAGCTTAGCCAAATGCAAGGAACCAATGGTGCCTTCTTTGGAACGACATTATAAAAAATTTTATTTTTATTAAAACGACGTTTTTTCTTTGTTATTTGTTGCTGTTGCACCCTATAAAAATGGTCTTTAAGTTGAAAGAGGCCACCAAATATTTATTCGAACGGAGAGAAAAACACCAAAGGTTA